CCTCTCACTCCCAACCTGCAGCAACCTGCCCCCCCGCCCTGTCAGAGGTGGACCCTAGCTGCCCCCCCAACACCAGCAGGCACCTGCAGTCCCTCACACACCCATTCCTTCCATGCACACACACACACACATGCCCAACAGTTCCCAAGAATTGGCCCTCCAACCCTCACCCCCCCCCCCCCTAGTCTTACCTGCATCCAGCTGCCAAGGCTGTACCCACTACGCTGCCTGGTTGCACACCAACCACGTGTGTGTGCACACCCAGATGCATGTGGTGGCCCCTGCCTCCAATTGCCTCCCCCCTGCTCCCTCCAGCCCCAAGCAGGGTGGAAGGCTGCCAGCCTGCAAGGGAAACTTGTTGTTTCCTGCAGTTTTCTCCTTTAAAATGGGAAGTCTGTGTTATTCTCCTTCAAATGAGGAAATCTGCGTTTTTCCATAGCAAATGGTAAGCCTGGATCCCTAGTGATCAGCTACTATGTTGAAGTCTCTCTCTACCTCAGCCACTTCCAACCAATAAGCATTCATAGATTCAGCACCCTGCACTTGTCCGTATTAAAACGCATCCTGTTCCTGTTAGCCCGCCCCTGTAACCTATCCAGATCCCTCTGCAATCTCTCTCTCCCTCCCTGCTAGCGTGCTCACCTCCCCCCAAATTTTGGTGTCATCAGCGAATTTAAACAGGTTACTTTCCACCCCATCATCCAGATCGCTGATGTAGCAGAAAATTTCTGTTTTTAATCCCCTGTGAATGACCTTGTATTCTGTACTGTTGAATTTTATCCCCTCCTATCACATGAGCCCTCCAGGTCATCTGTTTCTTTCTGTAAGCTGTCCCAGTCCTTCCTACATTAATAATCTGCCTTTCAACTTTTATTTCATCAGCAGGCTCTTAATTCACCAATTCTCCTTTCAACAGTACTTGTTAGAGTCTCCTTCTGAATCAGCTCCCCACCTGCCTTACAATTTTGATTTCCATCTTCTCCAGCCTAATTAATAGTTTTCTACATTGTACAGTATCAAATGCTTTCCTGATACACCTTTACTGATCCAGATTGATATCTAGAGTATTTCCATGATCTGAAACACCTTGTCAAAGAAGTCTACCTTGGGCAAACACCTATTGCATTTTATCGTTTCTATCAAAATCTGTTCCAATGTTTTGCCTGGTAGGGAGGTCAGATTAACAGGCCTGTAGTTGATCAGATCTCCCCTTTTCCTCCCTCCTCTGCAATATAGTCAGTACACTGCTGTTCTCCCTCATTTATCGTCACTTTTTAAAATTGATAGATTTATTAAAAATCCTTGCTATCAGACCTCCAGTTCAGTATGCCAACTCTTTCAGAATTCTGGGAGGGAGATTATTCAGTCTCCACAGCTTGAGTGCATTGCACTCTTGACTCTTGTTTCTACTTTTGTTTCCATTTCCATACCCTTGTTTCCATTTTCCATCTTACTTCTGCTTCCTTGCTGAACAATATGATCCTTATTAAGAACCAAGGCAAAGTAGCCACTTGATTTTTTTGTTAGTACCTTGACTTTTAATGTCCACTCTGCCCTTGCTGCACAGTAGCCCTAATTCTCTCCTTGTTCTCTTCCCTTATATAAACTTAAGAGCATTTGGCTGTTTCTTTCAATATCTTCTCGTGTTCTAACTCAGTTTAACTTTTGTTAATTCTCATTTAATCTCAGTGCTTTCTGACCACTTAGACACAACTCTTTTAGGGGATCAAGCCTTTTTTTCCATTCCTTGTAGGTTCCTTGCTTACTCCTGCTGTTCTCCTTGAGGAGGTTATTCACCCAGCTAGTTGTTCTTTCCCTTTCTATCATTAATTTTCCTCATCCCTTGGGATGTAGACACCAAAAACATTAGCATTTTTGACTTGAGGAAACAAAGTTTTCTATGCATTCACGTTCCTGATTTCATCAGTCCAGCTGAGGAATCTAAAAAAGATCTGGAATTCTAAATACCATCACCCCTTGTTGGTTCAGTGACTATTTGATGGAAAAATCTGTTAGCCATCCCATCCAGGAATAACTGAGCCTTACCTGTAGCATTTGTTTTCCAACTTTGAAGCTAAAGTCTCTTACAAGAATATCGTTTTAAATAGTATTGATTTCTAACAACATTTAAAAGATATCTCTATCCAGATCCAACCTTGGAAAAACCTTCCAGCACTAAATGAGTAGAACCTCATTTGCCGTCTGTCCCCAAGATGATTTTGATGCACACAGATGATTTGTTGTTGTTGTCGTCGTCCCTCTTTATTTTTAACAGTTTATCTCACAACCTTAACATGAAGTTCTACCCTACCGCTGTTTCCCTTTATTTCTGTCTTACCTGAACAGCTTATATCATTCAGCATCTGTGTTCAAGTCATGACCGTTATTCCCCAATGGTTTTGTTATCCCTATAATGTTCTGTATCATGTCCTTCACCAATAATTCATCTTTATTTTTCTCATTTTCTTGGCCTGGTCCTTAGTATTGGCATATAAGCATTTCAGTTGCTTAGTGGCCCCACATCCTTAGCCAAATCAGGCACAGTACTTGACTGTTGGGCTCATCAATATTAGCATTTTCTTTACCTTCTGTTGTTGCTGCAGTTTATTTGCCACTTATCTTAATTATCTACCTGGTTTTCTTCCTCCTGTATACTAAAATAGTCCTCCTGTATACTAAAATGTGGAGGTTACAGAAGACTATTCTAGACACTTCCTTAATTTAGTATACCATTTAATACCTAGCACAGTTTTAATCAGTAATAAAGTTGTAACCTAAGCTAACTGCAGTATTTTTACAGATCGAACCGTATTTGCCCTATGAATTTACATGTGAGGGGATGCTACAGAGGATGAATGCGTTCATTGAGAAACAGGTATGGCCTCTGTTGATCCAGTAACCTTCTCTTTTGTTCATGGTCCTCCTGTGATAAAGGACACCTTAGTTTTATTGTTGTTCTGTTTTAAAGAACTTCTGAAAATGCATAGTTTAGCCCCCAATATACAGGTGTGGACTTTCCTGCCTCTCAACATAGAATCCCAGTGGTGTTAGTAGGCTATCATGTGACTGACCTTTCCAGTTAAGGTCATTATACTGGTTTTCCCCTCCTTTGTTCAGGCTTCTGATGGTCAACATAGGTCCTGTGGTTTCTGTTTTGATTTTTCAGTGTCGGGGGCATTAGCTCACAGCACTGGATGTGCCAGCTACCCGTTTTGTTTATTTCTTTCTGCCTTTAAAATATAAATAATGTTGTTACAATGTTTTACTTAATGCAGCATAACTACCTCTGATTTTTTACAATAAACTCTCCTCCCTATGAAAGTTTCTGGGTCATTTGATTCTCCTACATGAGCTAACTGTAACTGGCAGCTTTCATCAATAGAGGACATTACGCTCATTACACAAGAAGTAAAGTGAGATCTGAGGCATGGGTGCCTATAGGCTGTCAAGGAAGGGAGGCCCTAACTCTATTAAGCACTATAATAAAAACAATGCATAGTAATGTAATTGATTATGTTTGGGCTTTACCATCAGAAAAGGCTGCCATTTTACTGCTACCAGAATAATGGGGTATTGCTATTATTTATGTATTTATTTGCTCAGCACTAGCATAGTGTCTGGTATTACTGACAAGGCAGAGAATAAAAATGCAGACCCCATGCTGAGGAAACTTCAGTGTAGAAGATGGAAACAGACAGGGATCAGATAAAAGCAAGATGTAAAACCTCAGAGCATAGATTAGATGAAGTGGCAGAATAAACTGGGTTGATACTGACTTTCAGTGGGGCATGGGTGTGGCAAAAAAAGAGTGCGTTTAGGAAGGAAGTTTAATAAAAAGAAGAAGGGCTCCAGGAACGCTAGCACAGAGAGGCTGCTCCAGCCATGTGATACAGTAAGGAAGAAAGCAAGACCTTGGGTAATAGAAGAAGGGGACAAAGAGGCAGGAAAGTGCAAAGAGCAAAATGTGATGTCATAAGGTACAAGAACAAGATTAATAACCTAAACTGTAGCTGTCCAACAAACTACCTTATTTCATTCACAGATAAAGCATTCAAAGGGTTATTGTTGTGTTTCTGTAGGAAGATGCCATATAGCACTAGTAATTTTGTGTTGGCAGAACAATGGGATTTTTCCTTTAAGGTGCCACATTTAACAGGCTGAAATTTCTGTATATAATGGGGAAAAATCAGAAAATCCAGTGAATCGAATGTGAAAAGTCAAAGGGAAATAAAAGCTGGTTGCTTCTAACTTGAAAATCAATTACCCTGGATAAAAGGCAGTGTCAGTTTGGACCTTCCTTTGATGTATCTGGTAATGGCTACTGTCAAATTTGTCTGATCTGGTGATCCCGTGTGATAGCTCCTATTTAAAACTCATCTTCTTATCCTATCAATTTGAGTCAGTTAAGCTGGTATAGCTGCAAAAAGGAGAAGTTGGGGCTTCTTAAAAACTGCACTTTAGATTAACTTTGTTCTTTTAATAACAGCAATGTTACAAGGTGTGGTAAAGTTTATTCAACTGTATTCTGAATAATAAAATACTCTGTTGCCACAGGATTTCTGTCACGGACAGGTAATGTGGCCTCCACTAAGTGCACTTCAGGTAAAAATTGCTGAATCTGGGAAATCATGCAAACAAGTTTGTCAAGAAAACCAGCTTATCTGTGAGCCGTCCTTCTTCCAGCACCTTAACAAGGACAAGGCGCTGCTAAAGTAAGTATTAAGAAGTGTAGAAATACCAGTATATTAAAGTCAATGAGTGGAGGAAGGTGGAAACAATCTACTGCTAACAGAGTTTTAAAGTTGGATAGTCAAGTATTCAAATTCTGAAGTGCAAAGTTCAGGTTGAAAAGCTAGACCTTGAATTTAAGACTGTGCACATACCTTAAAATGCTCTCTTTGTTTTACATTTGTCAATTAACAGGAATATAAACTTATCATTTAAATTCACCAGCAGTACATCATTTGCCAAATTATTCCCCCAATGTTTTTCAAACTGTATTTCCTTAGATTTCAGTGAGATCTGGTAACGAAGCCTTTTTTCATCTTTCTGACTACAGGCAGTTTTGGTACACTTTGTGCACACATGTTTATTTTGAATTTATGCATAAGTGTTTGTATGCACAACTCAGCACACTAAATAAATTAATCCACCAGCAGAAGCTTGGAGTGAGAAATAGTAGTTCCTAAACTAAGCATGGAAAATCACAAGGATTTTATTCAGGAATGTTGAACAGCTGTAAAAGGAAGTTGGAACAGAGCTGAGCATTAGGGCTAAGTACAGATGGTCAAAAAGCCCCAGGCTGAATAGATTCAATCTTCACAGGTTAGTTTAAGCTGCATAGAATTAACTGATAAGCAAGTGAGCAGACATTCACTTTTGATTCTAGAAATGCAGCCACGTGCCTGTAGTGGCCCAGGCCCAAAGCTGGGGGTCGCTAGAACACGCCTTCCTGCTTGGCTGGAGCAAACAGCTTGGGCCAAGGCTAGCACACCCTCTTTGCGAAGGGGGCTTGCGGGGGAGGTGCAAAGCATCTTGGGAAGCTGGAGGACTAAGAGTTAACTTGATTTTGGAGGGAATCTGGACAGAAGTTCCATAAACTAATTAACCTAAATCAGTCAGCTCTGATACTACATCCATCCAGTTTTATCTTAAACTGGTTTTGGCCACTTTGAAAGCGGTTTTTATGCACTGAACTTCTGTTCCAAACCCCCTTCCTAACTTGGCACCTGGGGCTCCTGCCCCTCTTGCTCACCCCTGGTTACACTACTACAGCTTGAAGTGACGGGGAGTAGAGGAAGCTGCTAAATGCTGAGCTCTCTTCCACCCTGCCCTTGATTTACAGCTGGGGGTTTGTTCAATCCAGGGAGCACAGTTGTCTGGATTATAATCACCCAGGGTAAGCTTGCAAAACCTAGTACCCTTCCACATTTATTCCTTTTAATATTGAATTTCCTTGCATTGGGGTGACCCCCAAAGCTAATCCTCATGTTGTTTGGGGGTGTGTGGATGGAGGAACACGAGGGATTCTGAAATCAACATTTTTGCAATAAAATAATCCATACACATAATCTACTTTGCATTAGCTGTTCATGCAGTTTTCATTAAAAGCCGTCTGTGTAAAAGTTTGCTTATCTTTGCATTTTATTCATCTCTGTCTGACTCCAGATCAATTCTAATGCTTGCTTATTCACTGACAAATAACAATTACCATTTTTGCAAGCCCTTTGTCAGTAATGTCCTAGGTATGCAGGCTCCCCTAGTCCTTTGCATTGGAGAGTTAGCACCAATTTGGAATGCTTACCAGCTATGCATTAGGGTGTTGTCTGCTTGCAAGTTCCTTTTGGTGATGATTTTATAACAGAAGATCAAATGATTCAAAAGCTGCATGGTAACAGATGTCTCTAGGGAGTTTGCTGGCTGGGTTTGCAAATCCCCATTTCCTAGTACATTTACTACAAAGCTTTTTTTTTTTTTTTTTTTTTTACCAATGTGACAAATCTTGTAGCTGCAATTTACTAGTGAAAACCAAAGGAAACCCATACATGTGGAGATCCTTTTAGCCTGTGACTGTCGGTCAGTCTTCTGACTCTTACTGTTTCTTAAACTGCTTAGACAAAACTGTGGGGAAAAGAAAATGTTAAAGTTTGAAAACTAGGGGTTCTTCCTGACCGACTAAAAGCTTACGTTTACTCACCATGTTAGTTTAGGTAACACAGTTATTTCTTGGTCTCAGAGAGACCCACAGTTACCAGATAGTGGCCTTGGAGATAACAATTTGTTTGTTTAATGTCCCTAAGGTTTTGTGGCCATAAAATAGATAACTTTTTCTGTTTTTTCCAGTATCTTTTATATGCACCCTTGAATGTAGTTCCATTTTCCTGATTCATACACTGTGTGTGTGGAATGAAGCAAGAGTTCAAATTTGTTATATTTTTCTCATGTTTAAGAGAAACAAGAAAACACCCTCTGTACAAAACTGACCTTCTCCAAGAACTTCAGGTTGTATCAGTTGTAAAGAGGCCAGCAGCTAATATACGTTTGCAAAAAAGCAACCTTCCAGAAACACTGCTTGTAATGCTTTTCAAATTTCCAAAGAGTTAAGAAAGATCAGAATATTTGTAACAAGACACAAAGGGCGCCTAAGCCCTATACACATGCAGTGAGGCTGCTCCAACGCGCTGTAATTACAGCATATTGGAGCAGACTCAGTTAATCAAGTTTGCTGGAGCATGGTAATTTTGTTAATTGAAATTTACAAATTTTGAATTACTGCCACGCGCCAGCAGACTCCAGCATCATGTGTATCAGCATCCCCACGCTGAAAAATAGTGGTGGGAGCAGCTTAACTAAAGCTCATTCAGCAAGATATAGTTAAAGCGCCCCTGCTGCCATTTTTCACCACAGGCATGCTGATACACGTGACACTCCGGGCATTGGTGACACGTAGGGGATGTACATGGGTGCATGTGCACCCCCTGGAAGTGCCAGCTGCAAAACCGGAAGTGCCGGCAGAAGTGTACTTCCAGTTTTGCCACTGACTTAGCGATCCCCATCCCGCCCCCAGGTCAGTGATCAGTGGCAGGGGGACCACATGCCCCCCCCAGACTCGGGAGGCACCAGTTGCCCATGACTCCAGGTGCTTTAATTAGAGTGGCTCTTAGAGCCACTCTAATTAAAGTGCTCCCCCCCCCGCCCCAAGTACATGTATAAACACCCAAAGGTTTTACTTCTGGGTCACTGGTTTGAACAAGACTTTAGGTAAAGAATCCTAATTGCTGTTCTTCTATAGAGTTAATTCTGCATAATAGTCCTATTACTGTATTTACCCAGCTGCAGCTGGTCTCTGCTGTGTTTAAATGAACAGAAACACTCCCCCACAAATGTTTTTTTCTGCACTGAGGTTCAGTATTTAAAAGGAGAAAAGAATATGATGCATAGTTGCCTGTCCTCATTTTTATTCCATTAATGCCTGACTCAAAGACCAATGAGGTAAAAAGCGTCTTTCTGTTGATTTCAACTGACTTTGGCTTCAGGTTCCTAATGATTTCATCTTACTAGGATTTCTAGGTATTTTAGGATGATTTCTTTGGCTTTGGAAAATGAGTGAGAAGCAGTATTTTTTTTGTTTTTCTGTCTCACATTTATCTTCAGTAAACAGAAGAATAAAGCTAAAAAAGGCTGCACTGCCCTCTAGAGAGTGTCCTGTACTTAAAACACTGACAGGCATAAATAACTGCTGCATGTTAGGGTGCCAGGAGTGTGCAATTCTAAACCTATCTGAATTATTCACCATAACGGTTTTGCCCACTTTGGAGTTTAGAATAGCACTGAAAGCATTTTATGAATAACATAATTTGAGTACAGGGATGCAGAGTACACAAGAAAGATAGGTTCTACACAGAATGAATTGGAGGTTGATACATACACTGAGAAATGGGGAAATAGAAAGACAGCATTCAAGAGTGTTGAGAAGGATTATTGGACTAAATGTCTTTAATCCATACTACAGGACCGGAACATTATTTTGCTGAGTTTCTGGTTCTCTGTTTTTATGTAACTTTTCCATTCTTAGCACTTTCCTGAATTAAGCACCACCTACATATTGCCCCATATATATTGGCAAAGAAATTGAGATATCATAATCTCACCCATTTGATTGAAATAAAAAGGTAGTAGAGTACATCACAAAATAAAACCACTCTGCTTCCTCCAGGCTGTGGACATAATTGGAATTTTTTTTTGTGATCTGGGGTCTTTGTCTTAACTTTGTATTAGGAGTACTGCCAGACTTTTACTGCCTGAAATGGAAGGTTTTTATAGTGTTGGTTGATAACAGGAAATCCTGTCCAATTCCCGGTAGCAACAGGAGGTTTACTTTTCCTTGGACCATAGGGACATACAATTACAAATCTTTTCTTTCTCACTGACTGTGGCTAAAAGCAGTCACCATGGGTGCAAACAAAAGTGACGTTTTTCACACAATCTGGCCCTCGAAAGCACTCTACGGCCATGGCATAACACATGTGCATGGCTGAAGAGTGCTTTTAAAGTGGCCAATCACATGACAAATTAACCCTCATTAAACCAGGTAGTAAATGAAGCTGCTCTAAATTAGAGCACCTTAGGGGACTTCTGTACAGTTCCCTGAGAGGGTTAAGTGTCATACTCCTGGTGTGCCAGGGGGAGCAAGGAGAGTTCAAGGAGTCTCAGCTGGCTGCCTGTCTGCCTCCATGCGGGCAGGGGCGAGGGTGGTAATTGACCCAGTGATCAAGGCTGGTGGGGCCCTTGCTGGTTCCCCCGCACCCCCCAGGGAGAGGGTCCCTGGTACCCACTGGCCCTGGCTCTTGGGGTGCAAAACCACCCAGAGTCCTGCCACCTACACTGGCAGCTGGCCAGGGGCTTCTGAAGCCCTGACCAGCTTACAAAGCAGACAGTAGCACCCCCTGCTGCTTGGCCTTTGTCAGTGCATAGAGGCGCTGAGCCCCCATGCACAGGAGCAGCATGTGTGTTAGGTTTCCATGATGCCGTAACTTTAAGTGCTCTGTGTAAAATGCAAATAATTACAGCATGATCGAGGTGCCCTTTATAACTTCTGTAAGCATCCTTTGATCTGTAGTTTCCTGCTCTTATTTGGCCGTGTTTAAGATACCCAGTCGAATTCAGGGAATTTTGGTATTAGGACTGGGCAAGGATAAAAAAAAAAGTCAAAATTGTGATACTGACAATGGTCTTGTTATTTTCTTTTCTTTTTTTCTTCCTATAGGTATAACATTGAATGTCATACTGTTGAATCAGCAAATGATATCGTTGTCCCCTCTTTTGATGAAAGAAGGAAGCACTGCATTTTTCAAGGAGATCTTTTGCTGTTCAGCTGTGCAGGGTCCCATCCAAACCACAAAAGAATCTGTCCTTGCAGGGACTACATAAAGGGACAGGTTGCACTTTGTAAAGACTGCCTATAGCAGCAGCACACCTTGTTTTTCCTTGGGGACAAGCAAGTGGTTTTTGAGAGAACTACTTATACTTCCTGCACTTTTGTCCAGTTGTCTAGCAGTAGGCAGAGCTCCTGCTGCAGCACAGAGGTATCTGCAAGGAGAGAGGGGTCATGATGAACAGCAAACTGGGGTTTGTTTTTTTTCTAAGCGAACATTTTCAAAATCCTTTCATCTACTCAACAGGAAGAGAAAGGAAGTTCTTTGCTTTGTAATGATTTGAAGATGATTGCAAAGAACAGTTTGTAGGAAATCCTAGGCCCCATCAAACATTGTTTTTGAGTGAAATGAGTATTTTTTTTAAACAAGTTAGAACATCCCCTCATCATTTGCTAAGAACCCAAACATCATTCCAGTAGAAAGTTGAAAAAAGTATGGGGGGGGGGGGATAGGACTTAATTTATTAAACGTGCACTGTTTTGGGTGCTCCTTCAGCTACAATGCCTACAAAATGGTGCATTTCTCAAGAACTTGGAACCACAAGGAAACCCAAGTAACAAGAGAGATAACTGTCTGCTCCCAGTTCTTTTTTAATCTTTGCATACTACAGGATATTGTCTGCATCACAGCTACAGTACTAGAGCAGTCTAAACAGAGAGCACCATGAAGAGGAGGATTGGTGGCTGCCAGTTTGTGGCGCATCCTGGTAACTGGATAACTGACTTTGGTTGTGGTGTTCTTTGGTGCTGAACAGCCACTGACATATACTGCCATTTAAAAATGAACCCATTGTCACAGTTTACTGGTCCCATTTAGAGAACGATCCTTGAAATTTGTTCGTGCTTCTGTTGTAGTCTGCCTATTAGAAATACTGTGTGAAGCAAAAAGTATTCAGCATCATTTGAGCAATATTATTGTTAGACCCTCAGTTTGCTATACCTTAAAATAGTTAAAACGTTACTGAAAGACATAGAACGGTCAACTAAACTAACTATAATTATTGTATGATAGAAATGTAAAATGTCTTCATAACTAGTTAGGTTTTTAAAGAGAGAGATGTTTGAACAGCAATTGAGAGAAAGAGAAATGACTGCTAAGAAAAAAGATTGATCTCTTTTCTTGATTCTTTGTAATTTTTTAATAGGCAGGCCAGTGATATATTTACAAGCTGCATTTCATTATCAAAAGTTTGGATCCAAATTCAAACTTTGCTTGTTTAGAGCAGTGAGCTAAATCTTTTAAAAAAATAAAATACCTTTTTTTTAAGATTAAACTTTTTGCAGCACAAGCTGACGTGTTTGAAAGCACTCTCCATGGCTGGGAAAAGAGACATTAAATTAGTGGGAAATGAATGCTGAGTCAGTCTGCAGTGAGCAAGTAGGATTTGAAAACAATCATAGTTTGTAGGTTTAAAACTTGGATATACTCTGGCCATAATTGAAAACCTCAGTTTGATGTCTTAATGCTTTTTTGTGAAGATTTATCAAGCGTTGCCCAGTACTTCCACTAATGAAAACATAGGCACTTTAAATTTTCTTTCCTAGACTATATCAGGTTCACTCATTCTTTTGTATTTGGCATTCATTATCTGTGTATGAGTATTGATGTGTCTCTTGACCTACCAAAGATCCAAAAAGGGAAATGCTATTGAAACTGTCAGACAAATTATCATGACAAACCTACAGAGAATTAAAAATGCAGTTTCCCATTTAAATGTAATCATCTATTTATTCCAAGTGCTTTTATGTTTCATAATTCAACACTCCTAATGCTATTATATCATTATACAGATAGTGTGGATTAGACAGAAATTGGACCCTAAATTAGTTTTCAGTACCCACAAAAGCAATATGGAAGGTGTATGCACAGAAGGGTGCATGAGTGACTGCTTTGGGATCATTCCTTGTTGTGAACATCCTTTAGTTCATTTACCAGCAGGCCCATTCTTTTCCAGAAAGAAAAAACTAATAGACTTATCCAGAATCCTTCTTGCTGGCACTCCCTCAGCATGAGCACCACTTGCGATGGCTGTCTTAGGACTGGAATCTGAAAAGCTTCCAAAAATTCATTTTAGTTGTTTAAAAAGTTCCCCATGTGAAAGGTAGCAACAGGAGTTGTCTTTCCTGATGCTTCCTCAGGCTTTTCAGTTACAATGTAGTAAGTTAGAATGGGATGTGACCCTGGTACTTTGACAGCAAAGGTGGTGGGCGACGCATGTGTATGTATTAATGCAAAACGATCTTGTTTACTGTTATGTAACAATTAGAAACCATTTGCTGTAAATAAACATTCCCTTGGGTTCTGCCAGTTTAAGAAACATAGGGCAGATTGTCACTTATTTTGCCTAAAATTTAAGGACACCTAATTTTTTTTTTACTAGTCTGTTGCAATTTCCACTGCACTATATTGTCCAATAATGTAGCTTTATGGATTCAGTCTCTACCACAGCAGAAGAGTCTATGATCTCTGTACTTTCATGCAGTCCATCTTTGTATTTCTGCTGATTTGAGTTATTGGATATTGGTAAATGAAAAAGCCAAACCAAAACCTGTCCATCCAGTAACAGGAATCGGTATGAATTGAAAAAGATGAATAATCACTGGGACCAGATCGTAGTTCTACTGATATCACTGAGAGTTTTGTTATTAACTTCCCTTTATCTTTCAAGAGCTTTACTTTATTATTATTATTATTATTATTATTATTATTATTACTCCTAAGACGTGCAAGTGATGAGCTTTCTGGTCAGGAGTAAGTCCTCTTACAGTGTGCAGCTTCTGTTTAATCCCATAGATTTTCTCGTATGGAAAATTATGGTAAACATGTCCTTTCCTTCTACCAATAGATAACCTTTGTGATAAAGTTGTGCTTTGCTCTATCGGCATTTTGGAAACCATTGTTTCCACAACATTTAAGTCAATACTGATGCAGGAAATAAGATACTTTTTTTCAGTGTGTCGTTTGTCTTTAAATGTATAAGCAAATAGGTTCTAGTATAAAATAATATAATTCCTCAAGTAGCCAGGCAAACCAGTAAGGGATTATTTTACAAATTTATAAAGAGTTTTTACTAAATTAAAACAAATTTGTATCACAACTTAAATGGGTAACTCTACTGCCTAAACCCCATAAACCAAACAGACTTTCTGGGCTTATATAATATAGAATAATTGTATAATCCAAACATTGCACTTGCATGAGGACTTTTGGATTATCTGTTGTTATTACACAGATGAAACTGCATTAATCTATGGGTTTCACCTTCTGACTACACTTTGCAGCTTCCTTATTCAGAATTCAGGTTTTGCAACACTTGGTTTGAATATAATGAGTGATAATTGATGGAAATCAGAGGTATCAACACTTAAGTATATAAACATAAACATATCTGCCATAAATCAAAAACATCTTGGGATTTAAAATCCTGTATTTTTATACGTAACCTGATGTTTCAAAAATCTTGTTCCTACAAGATTAGAAAACTTAAGAAAACCATTTACGTAATTTATTAAAATTAACATAAAAGGCTTGCCTTCGAAAGGTAAAGTTGGTAAATACACACTGTTTAAAAATGCCAATAAAAACCTCATTTTTTCATATATGCAAGTTGATTTGCACATGTATAAATAGATACGCTTTTTTGCTTTCATTTTTTCCTTTAATTTTCTTTGTGGTTGCTGGTCTTTGATTCCCTTTTTTTTTTTGTAATTTATAGTTGTAATTGTGTGTTGCTTAATATTTGCTCCACAGATATTTAATGCTTATGTGCCTTTATTTAACGCTGTTGGATGGATGTTTGGAATGTTGGCGCTGTCTGAACAAGTATAATGGAACACTTGTTTTAGGGTAAATTATACCATGTTGCTGCATAAATACTATTGGTTTGAATTCCAAATGCTTTTATAAATTGGGAGGGAGGCTCTTTGAGATATATAAAGAAAACAGTGCTGCAACCTTGTCACTCCTTCGCAAATGACCGTTTCTGTAAACAGAATATCCCTTGCTGAAACTGGTGGTTTGACCGGAGTACTCCTAGGTGAATGCAGTAGCTAGATAAAGTCTCTTTGTTAAATGCCCATCAGGTAAGAGGAGGAGACAGTGGTGAACAGGAAATCTCAACTGAAATTGCCAAATGTATTGTTGAGGAAATTGGAAATGTGCATTAACACATGGGAGGTGCTCAGGTATTTAGATACACCTGGGAGGTGCTCAGTCAGAAGTAGCATGATCCTAGGAACAGCATGAGGCCTATTCTAGCTCCACTCCTGACTGCATCTGGCTCAGTCATGTATTGCCTGATTTTTTTCAGTTACTGAGCAATTGCAGCCTCCATTGACTTAACCAAAGCCCAGCTTGTTCACTTGTGTGTCTTCACCTGTACCAAGAGTGTCAAATACATGGCCCACAAGCTAGGTCCGGCCTGCAGAGCCACTCTGTTCAGCCCTGCAAACTATCAGCGTGGTTAAGGGGGATGGCCTGTCACAAAATCCAGGGCCCAAACGCTGAGGTGGACGTGATGATTGTCCGCAGGAGCATGAGCAAAGGCTGATGGTCCCAGTTGCCCTCCAGCCACTTCACGCGCCCACATTGCTGCGGTCCTTGTTCCCTGTCTGCTGGCTTGTGCCACATGCCGAGGGCTGGAGCTAGAGTCACTGCCACAATACAGGGCATGTAGATCTGACTCTGACTCCAGCATCGGGTATGTGACAAGGGCTGAAGCCACTGCTGCTTGCTCCAGGTCAGAGCTGGAGCTGCCGCTGTCTTGTGTTGTGACTGTCATCACTTTACAGCTTCCTTGTGCCCTGGTCTGGATCAGGCCTGCAAGGAGATGTGCAGTCCAAATCTGGCCTAGGGCACCAAGTGAGTTTTGACACCTTTGCCCTATACAATGGGCTCCTGATTCCATCTCTGATTTTGTTCCTTGACCTGCTGGTATGAGTACTAGTTTATACTCCACTTTGAGAATATAGGGCATGGGACAGCTGACCTGCTAGTGGTCTCCCTTCTTTTAATGGACTGACTGACCTAAAGTATAGGCATTATAAATTTACACCCGGGGGATTAACAGATACAACGTGAAAGTGTGGTCTCGCCTACGTCTAGCTCAGATTGCATTATTTTAGGGCCACATTCAGGTCCCTCAAAGATAATGTCATGTATTTTTAAGGAATCTGAATCAGACCCTTTATAGTCTGATCAGCATCATTAACTTCATGACTGGCCTCAGTGGCACTTAGATCCCTCTTTTACTCAGCTTTATTCAGACCAAGCAAGCAGGTGTTTGCTTTTAATGGGTTGGGAGACCAGATGCAATTAAAGATACATATTCCTCTTTGGATAAAGGATGAACACTATGAACCTGGCTACACCTCCTGATTTAAGGCGTATTAAGGACGTGCGTTTATACATGTGTGACCTTAATGTGCCTTGAAAACAGTGATTTTAGGCTGTTGGTGCCTAAATTTGATACCTGCAAAAGCAGGTATCAAATTTAGGCACAAATAGCTAAAGCACATTAATGCACATGTAGAGGTGGAAGACACGTTAACACTGTGTATGGACTGACGTGGGACTAACTTTAGTCCCACATCAGTCCACGCACATGGCTTTAATGCATTTTAATGCGTACACTTATAGACACAAACCTAAATCACCTTAACGCACATTAAATTGAGGCGTGCCTAAATGCATGTGTAGACATACCCTGTAAGTCACTTTTATCAAAGACAGGTTCTCTTCTGCACATATCAGTCTCTGCCAATTCTGCATGGCTGTCTGCTAGCAGTTATCTTACTGCAATGATAAATGTTTGTTTAAACATTTATAATTGTTTAAAGCTATTTAAGTTTTTTTGGCAATCTCTGTGTGTGTGTGTATATTTTGGTTTGTAAAAAAAAATATCAGATGATAGGTTCTCGCTATAGCCATCAGTGAAAGACAGGTGTGCTGCTGTAGTTAGTTTAATTCATATGTCCTGGTACAGCACTGGTTGCTGCTTTGTGACATTGGCCAAGAGCTGTTACGCTTTCAACTCTTAATTGGTTGAAGCTTTCTGCTTCTGGTTCCCCTTTGTTCCTATTTTCCTATCAAGGGGTCAAAAACCCAGAGAACATGGTGAGAATTATTTGGCCTTGGCCTGTTTGGCAACAGGTCGCTGTGACCTGGGAAGGCTCTGGAAGCCTTTAAACTAACTTACTGCTGTAAAACCAACTTTAAAATGTACTAATTTTATCTCTGTTGCTTACAGACTTTTAGCAGATTCAGAGGGTTTTTTTAAAAAAACTTTAAATGTAATATTGAATAGTATAAGAATATATAAACTCACTATAGGGAATACGTATCACAATGGCTGAATCCAGCATTGAGTTATCAGTCCTATCCTTGCTTATAAAGATAAATGTCCTGACACACTTCATGCAGCAAGAAACTCGTTTATAAATCACTTGTTTTCACTTCTTTGTAATTAATACATTTAAAAATACAAACTACCTTCCTCAGGTCTTAGGAAGAAACAGATACCCAGAAAGCTTGTGCCCAAAAGCTTGTCTCGCTTTTCTCCCACGTATACAGTTGGTCAAATAAAAGATATCTCAAAAGAACCCTTGTCCCTTAAACATTTCCTGGACCATCACAGCTACAGCAACACTGTAACCCTGCGACACTAGAAATGTGAGTAACACTTCAGTTGGGCTCAGAAGACTTATGCAGCCATTCAAGAACTCTCTCTTCATTTGATTGGTGCAGCTGTCAGGTGTCACAGCCCCAAATTTACTCTACATTTAAGTCGCACACAGTAGTGACTAACCTCTGTGTTCTGAACACGCGAGTGTTTAAAAATATCCATTTACTGAAAACTCTGTCATATCCTTTCCTCTACTGTCTGTTTCTACAGGTGGTCCAGACTGATCCTGCATGCCCAATTGCATTAAACGGAGTTATGCCTGTGAGTGAAAGCCCCTCACATACAGTGCTTACAGGATCACATAATTATGTTCTAGCAGTAGTGTTATGGACCCCGTGCTCTTTCCATTCGACGTTAATGGCAACATGACTGATTTCTCTGAAAGGAGGATTACACACAGCATGGGCCCTGATCTGCTGTAACCCACTCCTGACTAGCTGTGCATCAGGGCCTTAATCTTGAAGAGTATGAAGTGTTCTAGCCTGACTCAGCAAAACACTTGAGCACAGTCTTGATTTTAAGTATATGACTAGTCCTGCTGACTGCATATGTTGGGGCTACTCCGATGCAGAGCGTTAAGCGCTGTCTGGTGGATCAAGGTCAGTGTGCTAAGTAAGCACCTTGAGAGATCAAACCCCAGGTGAGCACAAAATCAGCAGGCCCAAATTCAATCCAGCTTCCTCTAGGTTAACTTCAGCATGGTTACATCAGTAATTTACTGCGTTAATTATCAACTTTGTTAATTGTTGATGAAAAATAAACAAACAAACCTTAAACATGGTTACTGCTATCTTTGTTTTTCCCCCCATAAGATGCAGTGAGGGGGAAAGGAAATACAGTAATGACTGAACGGTAAAGGGCAAACTTGCCATGGGTGGAAATATTACCTTCATGGTTCTGAGTTGTTCAAGGAAATGGAAAGGAAAGGTGTACATTTAAGATACAAACTGGAGAATTTGGTTCTGGACAGTTCTTTTTAGGGTGCAAACTCTTCCGTCTTTGCAGATAAACCTTAAAGTCAGTGGAAGACTTGCATGGAGAAGGAAACTTCAGGGTCAGGCTCATACCAGTGTGTTATATTTTGATCTGCTCTCTTGAGGCGTATTTCTGTGCTGTTCTAAATGGCTGTGTTCCACTATATGAAGTTCAAGCAGTTTGATTCTGGAGGACACAATGCAGTGCTCGGTATCGTATTGTCAAGTGACTGAGGTTCAATAGGAGGGGGTTCTTTAAAAACAAAAAAAAGTAAATGTCTGTATTTTAATGGCATAGAGCAAATGCTTTGTTTTCACTGTTGTAGAGAAAACTAGGGAGAACTTTATTTTTCAATAAACTTTTATTGTGTGATTTGGATTGGTGATTTTGTTTGCGTTTGTATTTAAATAGGAATTCCATCAGTTGCTGTTTTGGGAGGACTCATTGCAACAGCATGACTTCCCCACTGTAGTCTGCGGGCTGGCCTCCTTTGAATTAGTCTCCCTCTCTCCAGACAGGAATGAGCCGCAGCAAACACTATTATATCTAAACAGGTCCTGGTAAATGGAAAATGAATTACTCAGGTTGGTGGTCATTTGGATGCAGAGGTAGAAAATCTGGATATTCTGAGTTAACACAAAACAAGCTAATCATACCAATTGAAAAGATCTCCTTTCACCTGCCACATCAGTAGCTGAGTGCTCAGTTCTTGAAGGGCTGCCAGAACACAAGTGTGGCAACCTAGTTATTGTTAATAAGGGAGGTATTTGCTGACACAAACCAAGTGCTTCCAAAAGGATTTGTGGTGTCTTGCATAAATTAGCAGGTTTTTTCTGAAGGGAAAGAAAGATGTATGTGAACTTCAGGAGCTCAGTTGTTCTTGCATATTGTTAATGCTGTATTTTCTTTTCTGGTAACCAATTCAATGAGAAACTGAGCTTGGTCCCTCTATATGTGCAGGTAAAGGTGCAATAGGATCTAATGCGTGATCC